CGGCAGTGTCCACAGGAGACAGGCAAGAAGATTGGAGCAGCTTTCTCACAGGTCTACAATTCTGTTTTTCTCCAAATACATCATGACCCCCTCATCCTCCTTTTGAACTGGAGAGGGGAAGAAATGAAAGGCATGCCCACATCCATCACCTCCCAATCCCCTAACCGCCACCTGCAACATCATGAGCTGTTTTGTTTTTTTGAATTTTTTTTTTTTTTTTTTTGTCTTGGAAGGAGGGACTCTGGGTTCCAGGTTGGTGTGAATTGCAAAGGAAAAGGAATGAGCCCTTTATTTGTTTCCCTCCTGCCTGTCCCTTTTCCAGGAAGTTGTGGAATTGTTGGAAGAAGAGTTTTCAGAATGTTAGGACTGGGCAGATAGTTGAGTCCTATGTAATCATTGTTGCCTCTCATACCAAAATTTTTCTTATCCACAGTTTCCCTTCTGTCTCTTCCACTTTGCAGTCCCCATGGACTCATGGCCACTGTGCATAAGCTTCTCTGCTCTCCATCAAGAACTTCCCATGGTTCAGTACCCCTCAGTTTTGCCCCTAGTATCCAACAAGGCTTCTTGAGAGAAGTGATTTAGTTCTTCTGATTTGTGGGGCTCCCTGCAACAGACAGCACAACCCGTTCCCAGAACCCCACCAGACCCCAAACCCTGCTTCATCTCAGTTCTACATGGGCTCTCCCCATGCGTGGAAGGGAGGCAGCTCAGGGGCCACCATTGTGGGGTCCTCCTTAGACCTTCCTTTCTGACTCAGAAACACACTTCTACCTCTCTACTGTTAACTCCTATAGATGCAGCCAGCTGTTTCTGGGCACTTCTGTCAATGGGTGCCTCATGCTGGCTTCTCCACTAGGGTTTCAGGACAAACTACCTAGGAACTGCCTCACCCTCCTACTCGGCCTCCTGTCCCCCTTCTGTCTAGATTCACTTCAGGAATTGAGTCATCAGGAACTGCCCAGGTCCAGTACCCAGGCTTCTGCTTCAGCCCAGGCCAGTACTCCTTGTTTTAGGTGAAAGCCTTAAAATTTTAGCTCCCTGACCCTTGACTGAAAGCAATGTGGAGTGAATAATAAGCGTGTTTTGATTTAGGCAGGGTAGCTTGGGATACCTTTTAAAAAACAAATATAAATATGATCAACAAGTTTAGCATCAGACTAGATGATTTGCTTCTAAAAATTTGTTTCCGTGAGTCCCAGGACTAATTAAAATATATTTTTAAAACCATCTACCCTGGTACGCAGCCACCTCCTGCATGCAGTGCGTGTTATTTGGACTGGTGTTACAGGAAATGATCTGTGAGAGTCCAGGGACTCATTGCTGCCATTCTCCTTGTGTCTGGTCTTCCCCAGACCCAGCAGCCCTCTTTGCCTTGCCTGCCACCTTCCCTGCACCCTCAGATTCTGCAGGGTTCCCCGACCGTACAAGATAAAGTCCTGGACTGTTAGGGAGTCTTGCCCCGTTTGCCCTTTCCTGACTCTCCCCTCCATTTGTGATACCTAGAAGCTCATAGGACAGGCAGCGCAACTATTTAAAATCTTATAACTAGGGCCTGGCCACCACCTTTTTTTTTTCCTTTGCCCTCGCCTATTCCCATCTCTCTTCCTGTCTCTCCTCAGTACCCTTACCACCACAAGGAATTTTCCTGTCACTGTGAACTTTGCTAGGGCAGAGGAACATTATCTGCCTACATCTTTGGACCATATCCCTGCTGTTTCTTAGCTTCTTCCCATCCACTGCCCAGAAAAGCCCTTTTGGCCTCACTGTTCAAAGGATTTTTAATCTGTGCTCACTTCAGTACCCCTACTGAGGCCATGAGATCCTGAAGGGCATATGCCCAGGTCAGAAGCCATGGCATGTGGCACACACCAGTCAGGGACCAGAAAAAAGGAGTGATGTTCTCTTTCTCTGCCACCTCTTCCAGCCTGTCAGCAGTGAGCTGACCTGTACAGGAGGACAGGCAACTCCCACCCTGCCCAGTAGGTGGCCAGAGCTGATATAGTACTGGGGGCCCAGTGCTGGCACACCCAGGTGTCAGCCCAAAGGGTCCCTGTACCATCTTAGTGAGCTGGGAGGCAGGGAAAGGTGCACCAGTGAGTGTCGGCCCCCAACACCCCCTGTGCGCCCTACCACCCAGACCTTTTATAAGTGGCATTTTGTTAATGGAAATCCGGGAAGCAGGTGTGATTACTTTTTTGCTCGTAGATATTGTCTTAAGTTGAAATTCTCCCAGTACCCTAAACTTTCCCTAGTAGCCCCTTTAAATTCCCTCCTCCCCTTTGGTAGCTGTTTTCTCCACCACCCCTCTCCACCTCCCCTCTTATCTAGGAGCTGTTTTTAAGCACGATTTTTTTTAACAGGTTATATTGTACAGGATCAATATTTTGCTTTTTAACAAGGATATTTATGTAATAAGAAACTTTGCCTTAGGCAGGTGTTGGCCAGAAAAGTCCAGATTCCTCTGGAACCCCACCCTGGCCTCTCCTGGAGCTCTGATCCTGCTGTGGAAGGAATTGGCTGTGACCTTCACCACCAGAGAGTAGGGTCTAGCGAGGGAAAGGGGTGTTCACTGTCATAATCTAGTGCCTCCATGGAGGGTGTGGAAGTGTTCCAGTCCAGTGGCTTCTGGTGTCGGCTGACTTCCTGCGCTGATTCTCGCCCCACACCTCTCCACCTCTGCATATCCGGCACTAGAACTCCTGAACATCTCTTCTCACGCTCTCCCCTCCTTCCCTGTGGTCGAGGCTTTGGAGCCACCCTTTCTTAATGCCAGATTATTTAAAGAGAGAAAAATACAAGACAAAAACCTTCTAGCACTTTGTAAACACAGTGAATAACCTCTTGGAGTATTTTTGGCTTTATATAAAACAAGGTTTTTAATTGTAAAATATAAGTGCCATTAGAAAATGCACAGGGCATATCTTTGTTAAAGTAGATTTTTTTCAATGTTTTACAGAATTACATTTTCAAAAAAAGTTTTTATAATGAAGTTGTTTATTAAAAACTTCTGAATGATGTGTTTGGCAGTTGTGAACCTAATTGGGAAAGGGTTGGAGAAAGCCTGGAATTGGGAAAAACTGGAATCTCCAGACATCTTTGGCATCCAGGGTGAGGATGGTGAGTGTAGGGCAGATAGCAGTAGCCATTCACATTAAAGATGGAGTTTGAAATGGAAGCTCTTAATTGGGTATCTTTGAGGTAAGTGGTATCATTCTATCAGTTAATCTTGGGTGCAAGGATCAGAAAACACAAATTGACTTCAAATAGCAACATCTCAGGTAACTGAAAACGCCAGCAGCAGCACAGTCTTTGGGTCAGGCCTGACTCAGAGGTTGGAACATGCCTGGCCTCAGCATTGCTGTGTGTCCGCCCTGACTCTAGTGCTGTGACTTCATCCTCAGGGTCTACAAAGTATGTTCTTCCTTTGTGTGAGATCAGAATTCTGCCACGATTCTTGACTTGTCACTCACAGGACTGACCAGCAGAGGATCTTCAGGAAGAAGTCCTTTTGTTCACAGACGCCCCAGTAAGCATCCTATTCCATTGGCTTCCGTGGTGTTCCCCCCCATCAATTAAAGCAGACCCTATCAGTGACTTTGAGACTTAAACCAAGGAGGAATGGTTTCTCACAGTAAACATGGGCAACTGTTAGGATGAGAAACTGGTTGTCCAAAAAATATGCATGTCTACCACAGTCACCTACACTGCCCAAGGTGCACCTATGCCTGTGCCCAACAACTTTTGAGAGGCTGACGTGCTTTCAGCTGACATTGCTTGGCCAGTCCTAACAAATGTCATCACCATCCTGGGCGCCACCCCCTGTGCTGAGATCCTTCCATCAAGGGCCAGGGTTACACCCTTATAAGAGCATATCTCCAGTCACCTATTTCTCCCAGCTAGCCCCAACTTACAGCTTCCCCCACCTCCCCGATAGTCCATTCAATTGTGAACCTATCAATGGATTAACTCATTGATGAGATCGGAATCGCGATCCAATCACTTCCAAAAAGCCCCACCTTTGAATATTGCTGCATTGGGGACCAAGTCTCCAACATAGGAAGAAGGAGCCTTTGGCGGACCAAAGGCTCCAGGTCCAAACCATGAGCCCAGTAGCCCTTGAGGGCACTAGCAAGTGTGAGTGTGTGCTTGAACAAAGGCAGCAAGCTGACCCTTCATCCATCATTCTACTTACATGTTCACTGGACACCCCAATGAGTTGGGGCCTCAGGAGAATCCACCTTGCCTTCTTAAGTTGTGTATACCTTCGGATAGCCCCGGTGGCTCAGATGAGGGAGCTGTCATGTCCATTGGGCAGGAAAGAGGCTCAAGGCTTTCTGGAGTAAGTGGCAGGGACTTGGCAGAAATGGCATTAGGTCTACTGAACTCCATATGCCACAAGTTTAAGAACTGAGACCACAGGAGTGTGGATGTATTTGCCGGTCCTGGACTGCAGGGGCTGGTCTACCCAAGAACAGATCACTTCAGACTCAAGTCCGGCTTTGTGAAATGAGTGGTACTGAGCAAAAGGTAACTAACCCCTTTGGCCTGGCATAAAATGAAGCAAGGTCCGCCTGGTCTCAGCCAGCCAGCCTAGGAGGAACATGGGGACCAGGCTGATGCTCTCGCTCCCTGCTCTGCAGTGGTTTGAGGCCTTTCCTTGTTTGGGATCTTTCTACTCATTAATAACTATTTTCTTCCCTTTCTCCACAAGAGGAGCACCTTGGGTGCCACAGTTACTGTTATCTTCGGCTCCGGGTTCAAGTGTGGTCAGCCTCTGCAAGGAACACCCCTTGGCCCCTTGGCTGTGCCTGTGAAAATGTATCCTGTGTGAAAGTGCAAGTGTCCACAGTGGCCCCGAGAGAGCCCAGCAAGGGGAACGAATGCCAGCCGTGGTGGCTGTGATGGGCTGCCCCCCCCCCCCCCCCCCCCCCGCCCAAGCTGCCCCTGCTTGGTTCACCCCTGCACTTTCCCCCACCTCCACCGCCTCTGAGCCAGTTCTGTTTAGCGCCGGGAGCCGCGTCCCCACCGGGCAGCCCCCATATACACACCAGAACTCCAGGTCCCTTGTCTCCCCCGCGCGGGAGGACCCTAACGAGTCACATCCGGAAGAGGGGTGCGAGGGGCGGAGCGCGCCCCGGAGGAGGAGACAGCACCTCCCCGCCGCCTGTCCGCGACCTGCCACTGCCGCCGCCCCTGTTGCAGAGCCCGCAGTCTCGCCTGAGCCCCACCAGCCAAGAGGCTGCCCGCAGGTGATGGCGGACAAGGGGGCGGGTGCCCTGGAAGCTGCCGCTAGCCCACCGTCTGGGCCCGCGCAGGAGGGGTGCGAGCGCCTGGCCCCCGCGGCCTGGGTCCCGGGAGCTGGGGGACGCGGGGACCCCCACCCTGCAGCCGGCCCCGGGACCGCTCCACCTGCCCCAGGGCTCCGGGAAGTGGCCTCGGTGGCGACTGACCCAAGCCTGGAAAGCGGCCCCCACGGGGATGAGACCCCAGAAACGTGTGGCGCAGAAGAGTGGGGGGCTCGGGCGGGGGCCGGTGGGAAGGCCGAGGAAGTGACGACTGAGGAGGGCGCCATCTTCATGGAGGAGGCGGCGGAGGAGGTGGAGAAGCAGCAGGTGGGGGAGGAGAGGCTGGAGGTGGGCGCGGAGGCACAGGAGGCCCCGAGGCCCCTAAACCTTGATGGTCTCATTGTGGACCCATTGGAGGCCATCCAGTGGGAGCTGGAAGTCCTGAGTGGCCAGGCCGACAGGGCCTACCTCTGGCTTGAGCGCAGTTTTGGGAGGATGCGCCGGTTGCACCTAGCCCGGAGAAGCTTCATCATCCAGAATATTCCCGGGTTTTGGGTCACCGCCTTCCTGAACCACCCGCAGCTGTCAACCATGATTAGCCCCCGAGATGAAGACATGCTCTGCTACCTGATGAATCTGGAGGTGAGGGAACTCAGGCATGCCAGGTCAGGTTGCAAGTTCAAGTTCCGCTTTTGGAGCAACCCCTACTTTCAAAACAAGGTGATAGTGAAGGAGTACGAGTGTAGGTCTTCAGGCCGGGTGGTATCCATTGCAACTCGGATCCGATGGCATCGAGGTCAGGAACCCCCAGCCCTGGTTCACAGGAACAGAGACACAGTGCGAAGCTTCTTTAGCTGGTTTTCACAGCACAGCCTCCCAGAGGCTGACAGGGTTGCCCAGATCATCAAAGATGACCTGTGGCCTAACCCCCTGCAGTACTATTTGCTGGGGGATAGGCCCCTCAGAGCCAGGCGAGGCCTAGCAAGGTGGCCCACAGAGGCCCCACCTCGGGCCTCCAGGTTCCAGTCTGGCTGAGTCCTACAGAGACTCCTTTCCACCTCCTGTGGACCTGGGCTTAGGCCCACAGTGGGTGCCCTGCTGTCTGCCTTCTCTTTTGCACCCTTTGGCTCCTCTGGATGTTCAGTGGACTCAGCTCCTAGACTGTGGCCTTCGTGGCCAATCTCTGCAAATTTCCATGTGACCTTCATGCTGTTCTCTGTCAACATCACATGACTGAAACATGCCACTGCATTTACTCCAGAACGTCCAGTGCTGTGCATGTATCCACCACCATCTTCCTGGCCTGGCCCTGTCTGGGATCTGGCCCTCACAAGGCATCACCAGGAAGACCCGTGCCTCTCTGCCGCCTAGTGCTTCAAAGCCGCAGCTGGATGGGCTTTGAGTTTGTGCTGGCTGCACTCATGACGGCTCCCCACACTGGCTGTGGCTGAGACTCCGATGGTTGGGGCAGTTGGTGCTGCCTGCCAGCCAGACCTGGACATTCCAAGGCCCCAGGACCACAGGCCAGGTTACCACCAAATGGACTGTTGGGCATGGGCAGAGCAGGCCTGGGGGAGGTCTGGAGCAGGGAGCAGCGGGCAAGCACACTCTGTGATTCCCCTGCTCTTCCTCCCCACGTTGGGTCCCTGCCGGGGCTTGCTCTTGAAGGCCTGCGCTATGCCCCATGAACGCCTGGCTCATAAGTTCTGCCCAGGCAGCCATCAGCCCTTGGCCTACTTCCAGGTCTATAAGAATCTCAAAAACTGTCTATGAACCCTGCTGGGCCACCTGCCAATGCACAGGAGATCTCACAATTGCCCAGAAGCTCTGCCAGGTTGGCGTATCTGGGCACATGGTCAAGGTGGCGGCAAAGATGAGATCCTCCAGGAGCCCACTTTCCTGAACCCTATTTCTGGACCCACAGAGAATCCATACCCTTCACTGGCTCCCTTGCCCACGTGTTCTTAGCTGCCAAGTTGTGGATGCTGGGAATTGTGTCTACTTTGGCCTAGATCTCACCATTTTTCCTTAAAGTCGCAGCTCAGAAACGAAAACTGAAGAAGCAAAGTGTTTGCAAATAGCTAAGAAGACAGACTTTCTTGAATTCATCTTTGTCTCCAGAAAGGGAAAGCTTGTCCTGTAAACTGCCAGGGCTCTCTTTGCCCCCTCTGCTCACTTGCCTCACCCCATTTAGCAAGGCCTAGAATCTTCAAAAGGTGGGCAGGGCTGCTCAGCAGTCCAGGAAGTCCTCAGGGGCAGGGAGAGTTAATCATTTCATTTTACACGATGTTCTTTTGGAGGAACTTTAGTCTCAACTCTTCTCCCTCCTCCAGACCCAGCCCCCCTGTGCCCCCCACCATGGGTTGCAGGTTTCTGTAGGTACAAGGGCTGAGCTACTCCTCTCCTCCAAGTGCCCTCTGGGACTGTGGGCTGTCTCTGTTTTATTTAGGAGGTGGTGGCCCCTGCCCACATAAGGCCTGTCTTTTGCTCCTAGGACCTAGGAACACAAAATAGTGGGGAGGGCAGTGTAACAAGCTGGAGCCTGTAGGAAAGGTGGGGTGGCAGGGGGCCTGCGGGGTAGAGGGAGCAGTCCCCTGATTTTTACTAACTTCCTGGATTCACCAATATGTTTTGTAAATTGTGGGAATGAGAGAGCACTACAACTTTAGAGTCTTTCCCTCCTAGTCAGGTATGACCTTGTGTGTGTAAAGTTAACGCTATAGGGTTTTTGCTGCTTTTAAGAACCGAAGCATCCCCTTTTCTGTTTCCAGCCCACTGGAAAATGGAGCTGTTTAGGCCTGTTTGTTGCTTTTAGTTGAGAACATTTGTAAAACTGTCAATGTAATTGTTCTGTGTCACTCGGAAACTTATGTGACTCTTCCTGATTCTTATCAAGTTGTGGCCTGATACTATACCTGTTCTTAGAAGTAGTTTGAAGAAGGTGGTTTTTTAGGACTTACCACGGAAGTTGTTACCATGTTTTGTGAGAATAATCTCCAGAATGGTCTTGAGGAATCTGTGCCCTGGAGTCGTATTGTAATTGACATCACTATAACTGATATCGCTACTTCTTAACAAATATGCCCAGACTGACTTTGTCCAATCCAAAGAGGATTTGTGGCACTTTTGCCTTCTATATGCATGATGGAAAAATAAAAACTTTTTGGTCTGGGGAAAAAATAGCTTGTTTCTTGTTACTCCCCCATCCAAACTCTCTTGACAAGCACACACAAATGCCCCAGTTCCTACTGCCACTGCAAACCTTGCCTTTCCTGGTTCTTACCAGCATCTCTCATGCATCTCCCTTTGATCTCTCTACACCGGCCCCTACACACAGCCCCTGCTGCTCCTTAAATACAGCAAGCTCATTCTGGCCTCAGGGTGTTTGCATTTGCTTTTCCCTCTCTCAGCAATTTTCTCCCTTCAGGTATCACATCTCCGCTCCCTCAACTTGTTCAGGCCTCAAGCGCCATTTCTTCAGAGGCTTTCCTGTCCAGCCCTTCACAGTTTTCTGCTTATCACTTGTGATTCAAAAAAGACCTTGATCTCTTATCTTCTTTTCCCTCTCACAGGAGTCAGGGGAACAGGTACTGGTCTGTCTGCCACTCGGCCTCACATGGTTCAGTGTCCAGCACCCCATAATCACCCTTGTGAGGAGTGACCTTATCCATAGGAGTTGCCGTGCTGGGGAGGCTCCGACAAGATAAAGAATGAGCAGGGTTTCTCCTGAAGTTTCTGTTGGGTGGGGAAGGGTGGGGTGGTGACGGCTGATTGCACAACTTCATCCACTGAAGCACATCTCGAGGTGGAAGGAGTCAGTATTAATAATTACACCAGGAAAAGAGGCATAATGGTCGTCCCAAGCAGACAGAATCCTACAAAGTCCAGCTTGGCAAAGAGTTCACCACAACTGTAGATGGAGGAGGCCACAGGTACAGACTTCTCTGGTCAGGATACTGGAGATGGCTCTTGAGGATTGGGCAGAAATTTGAAAAGCAGGACTGAAGAAGGGAACTTCTGGCAGAGCAACCAGCATGAGCAAAGGCACTGGCGTCTGCAGATGCCAGGATGTTCACACATGATGAGTGGCTGCCTGAGAGGCAAAGCTGGATAGGTAGGCCGAGGCCACTTCTGAAAGTGGAACTCTGAATGCCAAGCCAAGGCTTTATCCTGCAGAGAGGAAGGGGTGGAATCAGGTGTGGTTCAGAGGTGAGAGTGTCACAGGGCAGCTGGAGGAAAGAGGAGGAGAGTGCAACTCCAGATCTCTCCAATATGAATGTTATCCATCCCTCCAAGTTGTACCTCTTCCAGGAAGCCCTCCATGGTTGCCTTGGCCCACATTACTCTCTGACATGTCCCAAATTTAGGATTTACAGCCTAAATCCCAAATTTTGGGTACAGAGGCCAGACTTGGCTGCACTTGTTGGGGTTCTCTTTTGCCAAACACCTTTTCCTGACACTCCAAGAGGAATCAGGATGAGCCTCTAAGATCCTGGTGATTTTAAAAGCTGATGCCCCATGCGGTTTGCCTGGTGATTGGCAGGTGTACTTTGGCTCCTGCAGCCCAGGTTTAGACCCAGGTATATCATGTGATCTCTTAGCTCCAGACAATGGTACTTAAGTAAAATAGGTTTTTATCTTCTGTACATTCAGTGACATGCTTCCGTCACTCTGAGTAACTCTGAAGCTACCACAGTTCCCTCCACTCTTCTGGGGCATGAGTTTCGTGCTGAGAAACCTCCCCGCCAACCCTTTTTTTTTTGTACTGAAAACTGAATCCAGAACACTTTTGCAGTAGTATCCCCAGCCATATTTATTTATTTTATTACCAGGGATTGAACCCAGGGATGCTTAACCACTGAGCCACATCCCCCGTCCTTTTTATTTTTAGAGACAGGGTCTTGCTGAGTCGCTGAGGTTGGCTCCAAAGCTGTGATCCTTCTTCCTCAGTCTTCTGAGTCTTTGGGATTACAGGCACGTGCCACTGCACCACACCTGGCTTTATCTTTTGTTTATAGACAGAGTCTCAATAAACTGCTGAGACTGGCCTAGAACTTGCCATCCTCCTGGCTCAGCCTCCTGAGTAGCTGGGATTACAGGTGTGCGCCACCACACCTGGTGAGAACCCGCTGAGTCACTCACTCGTATTCACACATCTCAGCACCCCTCTTAGGGCATGAGATGATTCTGTTCCTGCCTTTTGAGCTCAAGGTCCAGTAGCCAGGTTGAAAAACAGTGATATTGACCACCAATGTATATTGTGCACCTATTACATGCCAGGGGCTTACATGGAAATAGCAGTGTAGGTCTCTAAACTGATTTGAGCTGTGCCCCTCTGTTCCAAACCCTCCAATGACTCCAATCTCACACAGGAAAAGCCAATTAGCTCAGCACAGCCTGCAAGACCCTCATGATCTGACCTCTGCTCACCTCCCCAGATTTCTTTCCATCTATACCAGCCTCTTGCTAGTCTTGCTTCCTATTCCCTTGGCCTAGAAACTTCTCCAGATTATTTATAGTCTGGCTCTTTTTTACTTCATTAAGGCTTCTCAGCTCAAATGTTGTACCTCATAACATTTGAAAAAGAGAATTTCACCCCTGTTGGGAAGTCTTCCCCAATTACTGTTAGAACTACCCACTCTTCCTGTCTTTTTTTTTTTTTTTTTTTTTTTTTGGTACTGGGGATTGAACTCAGGGGCACTGAGCCACATCCCCAGCCTTATTTTGTATTTTATTTAGAGACAGGGTCTCACTGAGTTGCTTAGTGCCTTGCTGTTGCTGAGGCTGGCTTTGAATTCCTGATCCTCCTGCTTCAGCCTCCCCAAGAAGCTGGGATTATAGGCGTGTGCCACCATGCCACCTCACTGGCTTCTCTTTTTTAAATTAGAGTTTTGCTTTAGCATTCATCACAGGATCTCATCCAATACTTTCATTTATGCATTTGCCTTTTTCTCTACACTCTTGGGACTTTGTTTTGTTCACTGCCTAGAGTCTCCTTCCCCTCAGGCTCAGCACAGCTGGAGACTCGGTAGTTCTTTATGGAATGAATGAATGCTCCACATCCTTGAGGCTAGAGAGGAATTTTCAGGTGGGCAGAGGGAAGACAGGTCACCTGACAGGAGACAATGTTTACAAGGCACCGAAGCCTGTTGAAGGACCTTCTGGGCCTGACTCTAGGGATAAGAACTCTAAGGCTGGGGCTCGGGCTCAGTGACAGAGCCCTTGCCTAGCATGCTTGAGTCACAGGGTTCGATCCTGAGCACCACATAAATATAAATAAATACAATAAAGGTATTATGCCACCTACAACTAAGAATATTAAAAAAAAAAAAAAAAAAAAAGGAACTCTACCGAGGTGCATGGTGGCACACTCCTGTAATTCCAGTGACTCGGGTGGCTGAGGCAGGAGGATCCCAAGTTCAAGATCAGTCTCAACAATTTAGCAAGGCCCTAAGCAACTAAGCAAGACTCTGTCTCTAAATAAACAAACAAATAAATATATTTTAAAAATAGGCTGAGGATGAGGCTAAGTGGTTCAGGGCCTTTTGGGTTCAATCCCTGGTAACTAAAAACAAAACACTCCTCACCATCCAAGGGGCAAACATTTTCCAGGAAGCCTTGGAGTTGGAGCAGTAAATACCTCTGTCCCCATTTTTGATCCCTACTACAGAGAGATGTCCTGTGGCTTACATGTGTGCCAAGGGTGGAGGAAGGTGGCAGGGTAAGGAGGGGACTTCCTGCTGTGGTGTGGAGTTCAAACATGAGCTCTGGATCCCAAGGTTTTGCTCATCTCATCTCAGCCGTCTGCCCTGTTCTGTTGGCCTGGAAAAGAACTTTGGACAAGTTATTTTTCAATCTGAGATGTCTCGAAACTGGGGTAATTACTTGTAATCTGCAACTGCCTTGATTATAGCTCAGGGGACTTTGATATTTTCCTCTAAGGACGCTATTTCAGCACAAAAATTCAAGGAAGTCCCTGGTGTCTGCTTGCCTTTGCTCAACAGAACTAAAAGTTGACCTGAGTTGCTAAATCCGAGGGCCTTCTACAGGCACCCCCATTGGTGCGACCTGGGCACTTGGGCTCCTAGGCACCAGGGCTCCTTGGCACCAGGCCTCCTTGGCACCAGGCTGTGGTGGAACAGGCCCTACTTGGAAGGCTAATAGGCCTGAGAGCAGCCATGGCCTGCTCTCCAGGATTCCACACACTTCACAGCCCTAAGCTTGTTTTCTCATCCAGAGAAGAAACTTGGAATTCCTTAGCAGAAGGAAAAACTCCCTTCAAGCTGTCTTCCCTCTCCAGTGCACCAGCCATTTAAGGGGGCTGACTGTGGCAATGCTTTTGTTGACAACCATAGGAAACTCTCTTTTTTTAAAAAATATTTATATTTTAGTTGTAGTTGGACACAATACCTTTATTTTATTTATTTTTAAATATTTGTTAGATATTAAGGACCTTTATTTTATTCATTTATTTATATGTGGTGCTGAGAATTGAACTCAGGGACTCACACATGCTAGGCAAGTGCTCTACCACTGACCACAATCCCAGCCTCACAACCCCAACCTTATTGGAAACTCTTTGACTCAACAGATTCCTGTTGATATTGCTTCTGTAGTGCTGGGAGTTGAATCCAGGGCCTTATGTGTGTTAGGCAAGTGCCGTACAGTTGAGCTATACCTTAAACAATATTTTTTGTGGGGAGGGGACCAGAGATTAAAGGCAGGGTTGCTCTACCACTAGGCTACATTCCCAGCCCTGTTTTATTTCTAAGTTGCCCAGGCTGATCTTTACACTTGGCAATTCTCCTGCCTCAGCCTCAACTAACTGGGATTACAGGTGTGCCACTGTTTCCAGCTATATGTATGTTTTTTAACCTTCTATGAGCATCCAGAGGTGAGACAGCCTATGTAATTTTCAGTTCAATGTTATCTTCAAGGAATTGGGCCTTCTTCTCTGATCTGCCATCCTTTATGTTGGTGTTGTCCTTGGATTGGTGCTAAGTGGTGGCCATATCTCTAAGCGTTACAATGGGATATGGCAGTTACTGTTGACTCCCCTTAAAAAGGAAGAAACCTTTCCAGAACCTACTGTTACTTTCCTGGCCCTGTATCTGAATTGGCTAGAACTGGATCATAACTTGAATCAACTCTTGGCAACGGGGGGAGTGTACCTTGATCTGCTTAGACCAAGCATCAGGAGTGAGTTTTTGTCTGTTCACATCGGTGATGTAGCTAGACTGTTGTCTGTGGGAGGTCACACTCACAACTCAGTCCTCCTATGGGAGCATCGGCATGGCAATTTCATAATGTGATGGCCTTCAGGGTTCCAGGGTGCTGACTTCTGAGCCAGCATGGGTCCAACTGCAAGTTTCTAGGCCTATAAATTTCCCTATATTGAGGGGCTGGGCTATGGCTCAGCATTAGAGCACTAGCCTAGCGTGTGTGAGGCTCTGGGTTCGATCTTCAGCACCACATAAAAACAAATAAATAAAATAAAGGTGTTGTGTCCAACTACAACTAAAAAATAAATATTTAAGAAAAAATTTCCTTAAGTTTGAGTCATTACCAAACTTAGATTACTAGCCTTTGAGACTCACCTTTGATGAGTGAGGAGGGAATAGGTGATTGAGCACCTACTACTATGTGAGGGACCCTCAAAGGGTTCAAACATGCTAGGCAAGTGCTCTACCACTGAGCCACAACTCCAGCCCGTCTTTTTTATTTCTTGAGACAGAGGCTTGCTAAGTTGCCCATGCTGGCCTTGAACTTGAGATTGTCCTGACTCAGCCTCTCTATATATCTTTTTTTTTTTTTTTTTTTATGCTAGGGATTGAATCCAAGGCCTTTTCAAGTATGCTAAGCACATGCTTTCCACACTCCCAGCCCTTTGACCTAAATTTCTATTGCTTCATTTGAAGATGCCCTACATGATAGAGGGTAAAATGACCTGGCAATAAAATATTGGAGCTGGGAATCCAAAACCAGGACTGCTTCCAAAACGCACACCTGATTGCCATTTCCTGCTTGTTGGATCAGAGGGTGGTGCAAATGCTTACAATTTGGTGTGGAGGAGCCGAGCAGATGGCGCAAGACTATGGACTTGTACCAGACAGGAAACAGTGTTGGCCTGAACCCTAGAAAGCCAGAGAGGAGACTGAACATCAAGAGCAACACTCAGTTCATTAGGGAGGCTATCACACATTACACCCCAACCCCTGCATGTGACTTGAGACATCACAACAGGACAATGGCATTTTTATTTACAATTGGACCAAAAAAAGGCATACAGGCATTTAATTAAAAATAATGATGATGATGATTAAAAAAGTCAGAAAAATCGACGATGTTTGAACCCTTTGAGGAGTCCATTTTCCCACTCCCCCCCAAATAAGAATTTCTTAGGGGGAAAAAAAATGTCAAGATTTGAACTATCAATAGATTCCAAATATCATTCCCTACAGCTTGGTTCCCTTTTCTCCAGCCTGATTCTTGATGGACGCCGCTTGGCACCAAGGAGTTGCTACGTGGTAAGACTGGGAAGTTTACTGGTTTGACTCATGGGGAGCTGGCAGGGCCCTGGGGGACTCTGAGGTGGAGAAGGGAGGGGTGTATTCCTGGCTTCACCAGCATCCTGAGCTTAGTCTCATGGTTGGAGCCCAAGGACTGGAGTAAGGGTGAGTGGCTATTACTTAAACACTCATCCCAGGTGGATTTGGTCTCTTACAATTTAAGAGCAAACGTCTGTGACTTCAACAGGGTGGGCATGGGCAAGAAGAGTGGGGGTCTGTGGAGGACCAGGCCAGCCACATGAGCAAACTCCTTCCAGCTCGGGGAAACTAAACTTCTTGCTTGTTCCTGGTGGAATTTGGGAAGGAACGACAGAACTTACCATCTTCCTTCTCACAGCAGTTTTCTGGGTGCCCCCAACAAGAACTCAGGTGAGAAGTGGAGGGGATGGGTCCAGCTAAAAGAACTGAGTATAAACACTGCGGCCAGGGGACGTCAAGAAGGCCTCTGCCCAGCCACCTAAAGGAGGAATGTGAGTTCTCCAGGCTCCTTGCTCTGCCCTGGGAGTGGGGGAGAAGGTCCACCACTACCACATGTGAGAAAGAGTGGCACCCCCTGAGAAGAGGACTGGGGGCAGTCCTGAGGGGTGAGGGCCCCAGCGGCCTCTGCCACCCTTCCCAGACCCAGACATGTGGGTGCTGTACTCTGGAAATACTTGGCTCCAGGTCCAGGGTTTCTTGGCACAAGAATAGTTCACTGCTCGTCTCTCCTCCTCGTTGGTCAGTGCCTCTGGCTGTTCTTCTCAGGGGTGCTTCCTGCTGTCTTGGGGAACTGACCGGGTACTTCCAGGGGATCTCCTGCATCCACCAAGGCGTGGGCTTGCTCGTGGTGAAAAGATGACCCAGAGGCCTGGCTGGAAGCCCTGCCTAGAAGCTCTGCCTTGGGCAGCTCTGGGAAGAGGTTGGGAAAGAAAGAAGAGGAAAGGAGAGGGCTGGCAAAGGCTGGTTGGCACTGAGGGTGCTGTCCAGGCTAGAACCGTGCTGTTGTGGCATCAATGGTGAGGACAGGCGGCGAGAGGCTTGGAACCCTCACTGCAGCCCTGGCATTGCCTCTTCCAGTGAGTCGTGGGGTGGCCACAGCCCTGAGGAACTGAGGTGGAGACAGTGACCAAAACCCAGTTATCTTGGTGGATTTATCCATCCTGGATCCATTGGTTTAAAAAAACTAAGGAAAAAACAAACCCAAGCCAAAAAGAAATCTGAATAAACACATCAGAGAGTTCCAGTTGGAGGGAACTTTCTTAGCACTGAAGAAAAAACAACCCACTAAAAAAAAGAAAAAGAAAAAAAACAAAACAAAAAAACCCCCAAAAAACAAAACCTCATCCCCACAGAACTGCAAGATGAAGAAAAATGCAAGATTTATCTACAGGCCCTCCCACCCTCCACACAGCCCCAGGATCCAGGAACACTGTGCCAGGAGTTACATTCCAAACGAGCAGGAGTTATTTTATTTTGCGTGCCTGCAGTTCCCCACGCAGGGTGGCTTCCTGTCCGAGGATAGAGTGGGCGTGGCCGTGGTCCACCCCAATCAGTCAATCTTCACAGCAGCATAGATCTTACGGACAAACATGTAGGCTGCATAGAAGCCGATGGTGCCTGTGAGCAGCCAGAAGGACAAGACCATGAGGGCCGTGTAGCCGAAGTAGAGGAGAGAGGGGATGAACTCGACAATGTCCAGCTGGGGCAGAACAGGGAGAGAAGACAAGAGACAGCGCTTAGGACCAGCAGCACGGCAACGGGTCCCACCCTCTCCCTCACCTCACGGCCAACCCACCGCCTGACAAAGGGAAGGGGCTCATAGCACAGCTGACCCTCACTAGGACTGGTACGTCGCCTGGGCTGCTCATGACCTCAGGGGCCAGGGCCAGAATGTCACAAGACCGAATGGCCACAGCAGTGCTACTTCCTGGTCCTGCATAGTCCCCAGAACAGCACGGAAACACTCCTGGATGGCTGAAGGAGCAGGAGGAAGTGGGGAGGCAGGCAGGGGAGAGAGCTGTCCACAGCTTCCAGTTTAAGGTCCAGAGCCACTGCTGGCCTGTTTTCTCCCTGAGAGTTAACATCTCACAGCGTCTTTCATCGGAAAGCATTTCAGACTCCTCTGTGAAAGGGACAGAGTTTGGAGGCCTTGGCAGAGAGGATAGGGACTTGTGTTGCAGTGTTTGTTGTGATAAATGAAGCTAATCTGGGGGCCTGTTCTAGGCTCATGGGCAGCTACATGATCATACAACTGCCAGGAGCCCGGAAGAAAATAAAGGTCACTGTATGAGATCTTCTCCCAAGCCTAAGAGGTGACGGCCAGATTTTCAGGTTCAATTACCATCTCTCATCACAAGACTCTTGTAGCTGCATATGGGGGAGGGATGATGGCGGGGGGGGGGGGGGGGGGGGGGGGGGGGGGGGGGGGGGGCAGGACAGTGTTCAAACC